CCAGAAATGACCTCATCCAGTCCCCAATGCCTCCTGCTGGTTTGTCAGGAGGGGGAGAAACTGAGGGCCCTCAGGGGAATAGAAAGAGATGACAAGCAAGCAATGAATGAAAGACAGAAGGTGGCAACTCTCTTCCCAGTGCAGCCCATATTCATCCAGGTGTGGTTCACCTAGGGCCAAGGAATAACATCCGTACACTAGAAGCCTCTGGCACGACCTCCCCGCTCCTGGTAAGGCGGTAGGAACGAGGGGCACACCTGAGGAGAATCCAGGCAGCGCTGGAGCTGTCTGCTCACTCGTCATGTGGTAGTGATGGTGAAGGATTAATTAAAAAAAAATGTAAAATTCATGTAATTCAAAACATTTCCTTTTACGGGTATAGCAATGGGATCTTGAGAGGTTAGGGGGCTTCTCTCTAATGTCTAAGGCTGGACCTGGGGTTAAGATCGAGACTTTTGGACTCTGGATCCAGTGCTCTTTATAAAACTTACCAGAAGGTGAATACTCTTCAAGGTCACCTCCCACATCCCACTAAAGAATAGGGTTCTCTTTCCTATCAGAGGTGGAAGAAAAGCCGAGAAGAGAGAGCCATGGTTCAGGGGTCAAAGAGCTGGGCACTACTAGTCCCAGCCACGGCCCCAGCAAGCTGTGTGACCTGCACAAGCTGCCTAACCTCCCAAGGCCACCACAGGACCTCCTCAGGCCCCACTGGGCCCCTTCCTCTGACCAAGGGCAGTGAGAAGTGCTCCATATTCATCAGTTTGGTATCTGCACTTCTTGGTAAGATTTCACTGAAGAAAAAGTTCTGAGCTAAACAGGTGTAAAACGACGAATGCCATGGCCCTGCGGGGTAAGTTTAGCACAGATGGTTTTGTCTGGTGGCCAAGGCCTTAAAGAGCGACTGCTTTGCTTTTGATCACCACTAGGGGGCGAGAGACACTTGTTCTGAGGCTGAAGAGAAACAAAACCGCTGAGGCATTTTCCTGTCTTCCCCCTCCTCCAGCCTGCAGCCAGGTGAAGTTTAAAGCTCGAGCCCAGGGCACTCACTCACTGGCCAACGAATGACATGGGCAGCACACATCTCACCTGCCACCCCTAGAATAGGTTCAGCACACCCTGTCCTTGTGAGGCAAGGCTGCCGTGACACGCTAATGACCATTTAGCTCCAGAGGCCTAGGTGGGAGGAGATGGGGAGGGAGACGGCTGGAGTGGCAAGCAACCTGCTCCTCATTCATCTTCTAGCCAGATGGGAAGTGAGAGAGCCCACATCACACTGCCTGTCCCCGCGGGGCACGCTTACAGAAGAACTGAGACTCACGGTTCTTCCCAGTTCAACATGCCACTTCCCCTCAGCCCCATGACCTCTCAGCTGCAGAGGCAGCTAGAGACTCACAGACGGAAAGGTGGTTTCAATTCTTCCTTCCTGGCAGCCATGATGGCAAACCCTTTCTGGATCGGGAGCCAAGTCACCTACCCTCTCTGGGCCTCCACTGTCTCGCTACAATGATACCTGGTGACGGGAAGTCATGAAACACCTTTTGGTAAAGCCAGAAGGGCTGGGACAGCACATGGCTATCATCATCACTTGGGCTCAGGCCTTCTGGTGGGGAACCCGGGGGGCTCTCCTGTGCGTGGCAAAAGTAGCTAAGAGCAGCATCTTGAGATGGGGCTCCTAAGCAAAAAGAGCTCGAAGATGTGGGGTGCCATGGGTAGGGAGGTTAAGTACCTCCGTCCCCACCCCCACACCAAGTTCAAACTCAATGCCATTGGCTCTTGTAGACTAACTGGAATCATCTGTTGAGCATGATATCATGCGTCAACAATCTCCAAACGCCAGAGTGAGGTCCTGAGTCATCTCAAATGGTCTACTTTCCCCCTTTGCAGACCTACGGGGCTCCACCGTGACCAGGGACATGCTGAGGCTCAGTTCTGCTTTCCCAGGATCCAAACTCTAGGTCAGGGAATGCCAAGAGCTGGTCGTTATGAAGGCCTTGGCCTCACCCCAAAGCCTCCACTGACCTGAACAGCTTGGAAAGGAATACCAGGCAATCTGAGGCAGTCTTTCTTCCAGAAGCCATTGTAGGCTGAGCAGGGAAGGAAAGGAGGCACTGCTCTGTCCGTCCACCACCTTACCCTCCAGCCCCAAAAATAAGACTACCCTTCTCTCGGCCCCTCTGCACTATGACTCTCTCTTCCCTGCCCCCCATACATACACACACACACACACACACACACACACACACACGCTCTCCACACACTGCACAACCGCTGCCAGCTCTTTCACAACCAGTTTTTCCCATAAAGTAGCCACACAGCCTGAGGGTTGGCTGCCATCTCATCTGGACACCCATGGGCCTCTAGACTTTGGCTGCAGGTGCTTCTTCAGCTCCAGGGCAGAAGATCCAGGATTGGGGGAAGAGATGTGAGTGTAAGGATGGAGGAACTTGGTGTCACCTACCTGTGGCTCTCAGCTACTTGCCAGACCGTCCTAAGCACTCACCCACCCGTCACACCATGGCCCCACAATGTGGAATGTCATTTACCTGGAGAGTGTTTCCTACAAGAAAAGCAGCCCTTGGTTTTTATACTGTCAGGCTGACTGTAAACCTCCACTCAGTGTGGATTCTGTATGAGTCAATCATGCATACCAGCTCAAGGGCAGATCAGGGAAAGAAATGCCTTACAATACAGGCACATCCTTTCTAGGCCCAGGACACTCTGAGAACCTCCCTCTGCTCTGACCAGTCCACCCGAGGCTTAGTGCTTGGCACATGGTTTTTCATTTGGTGAGAGGTGTTCTTTCTCCTATCCATCCCTACCCCCTGCCCAAAGCCAGCTCGAGGCTTCCAAAAACGCCATCTTCATGACTTCCTCTGCCTCCTCTCAGACCTCTGACCTCAGTCCCTAAATCCCAGGCTCCCTACTCTGGCCCCAAAGTTGGCAGCCACCCCAAGGATCTGGGCAAGAAGGCCAGGAGTGGGGGATGGGGTCCCCAATTTTAGAGAATGGGCCTTCACAGAATCTGGGGATCTGCCCATACCTGGATAATTCTACCCACCAGCCCTACCCCAATCAGAGATCAGAGAGGAGGAATGGGTGAACAGACCCCAAAAGATCTGGCAGTCAAGAGACAAGGTCAAAGCAAAGCTCTGGCTATCAACAGCTGGGCAATGGGGAGCTTAGTGTCAGGGTCAGCTGTCTTAGGCCAGAGAAATAAAAGGCTGGTTGACCCCCTCCCAACACAGTGAATCATGACAAGGAGGAGGAAAGGGTCAGCCGGGCCTGGGAGACAAAATGACAAGTCAGTGAGCCTGACCTCTCGAGCCCAGGCCAGACAGCAGGAGAAGGGGGGGAAGCAAGAGAATGGCTACTGTCTAAAGGGAGCAAGGATCCACAAAGGCTCTGAAGCCTGGCCCCCAGGGCTGCAGGAAGAGCGGCCAGCTCTCCCACCAAGGGGCACAGGGCACACACACCATGAGGCCCGGTCTGCACCTAGAAGGGAAGGACTAAAGAAAACCAGTGAGAGGAATCCTGAGCCCTGGAATGAAATATGGCTGGCATGGAATCCTCTGTTCAAACCAGCGAAGGCAGAGCACAGGGGTTCCACAGGAATTGGATGAGGGCAGCTGGAAAAGTAATTATATCCATCTCAGTTGGAACAGTTAAAATTGGAGTTGGTGGCATTTTCACAATTAGTACCGTGGCACATTGTATCCCTTTGTTTACAAAGTATTTCCTTGCATATCCTGTCTTTCTGGTTTTCATTTTCCTAACCACCCTGGAAAGGCTGTACGTAGCATCGTGTATCAACGGGCATGCTTTGCACATGAAGCTGAGGTTCAGAGAGGTTAAACAGTCTGTCCAAGGTTACCCAATGATAAGTAGCAAAGACTGGCCTTTTGACTGTGAACACCAAGTATATACACTGTTGCATATTGTAAGATCGTCTGTACATACTCACAAATGACATGTAACAGATACTGAAAAAGTTAGGTACCACCTATACAATTCATACTACTCCCGGCAAACTTGAGCTGAACTCCCAGCCCCACTTATGCCCCTTCCCCAGCCCTCCTCACCCATTCCCACCCAACGAAAGATCTGTCAGATTTTTACCTAGTATTTCTGACTGTGAAAATATGAACTCCTGATATCTATGCCCTAGATGATTAAGGTTCCAGGTTCTCTCCCACGGCCACTACCAAGAAAAGGGTAGAAACTGGCCAAGGTTCCGTTTCATGAGACAGTATCAAAAATATTTAGTGTATTAGAAAAACAAAGCAAAAGGGCCAAAAAGAACTATGTATCAATTGTGGGGTAAACACAGTAGGTGGAAAGGTTTTAACAAGAAAAAGCCTGTTGCTAGTTGCTATGTTAAAGCTGCAACCGGAGTGAAAACAGCAGCATATGGAGGGTGTCAGAACCCAAGAAGGCCAACCAGGCACATTCCCCCACCCCACAGAGGGAACAGCTAGGAAGAGGGCAATAAATGCCCTACAGTAAAAAGAATTCCTTTGGCCTCTCTCACTACTTATCAGGGCAGGCAGTGTATTTATCTTGTCAGTGTTCCTTTCACCTGTATTCGTCCCCACCCCCCAAATTTCCTTTTGGGCTTATCTCCAAGCCATTCTTTCCCCCAAGATTAAAGATTTAAATACAACCAGAGAGCAGTATATATAATCTTCAAAGAGCACTTTAGACATCATAAAGAATATTTTAACAGGCACTATTTTTTTCACCTTACGCACCTGTCCTCATAAACCATTTATGAGTTCAGCGGAGAAAGAGAATATGCCAGCTCAGGTAAAGAAAAAACAGCCCAGGAATGAAACCTTGGACTCTAGATGACTGGAGACCACCCCTCCCCTAAACCCCAAACTCGTGGAAGTTAGTACTCCAGTATGGCCCCCCTCCCCACCCTCCGCCACCCCCAAATGGCACACAGGGCTCCTCAGGACCCCCCCCCCGGCCCCGCCCCATTCCAGCCTGCTCCTTCCTACCAGTGGCACAGAGAGCAATGAAGGTCTGGGCGTGCTTGCGGATCAAAGGCACCTTCTCGCTGGGCTGGGGCAGCTTGCGCAAGATGTGCTCGATGAAGTCGTGAGGAGTGACAGCTGCCAGGTTCCACTTCAACTTCCCCAGCACCACCAGCTCCCACTCCTGGTGGGGAAGGGAGAAGAGTATAAAACCCACAGGCTGACCGGGTGTTACGGGTACTGGAGTGGGGGTTGGGATCCAGACCAGTTTTAATGATGCTCATTAGGACGCTTTGAGATTGTAAGGAGGCCTATTTGTCAAAGTGCCCTAAAGCTTTGAAGTTGCTGACGGCTCTTCTTATGCTTCAAATGTCAGGCTCCACTGAAAATAATGAGAGCCCAGGTAGCAGTTGCCAAGATTCTACTTTCCTCTATTTCTTTTCCTCTCAAACTCCCCCACCCCCACCCCCACCCAACCCTGACTTCCCTGCAATGCTGTTGCCTGCCCACCCAGAAAGTTGAACCTACAGTAAGATACTGCCAAGGTCATTGTGGCCCTTTGGGAATAACTTATTGTATATGTCTCCATCACTGGATTAAGAGTCATTTTAATCCTCATGGAAAAATGATGCACACAGATAAAGCTCAAAATAAGGTTCCTTGGCCCAAATCCTTGGCAACCAATTAGCTTGCCTGTAGTTGGTGCCAAAAAGTGCCATTTTTCTCTCTGCTGTTAAAACTTTCCCCTTGACACACAATGCAGAAATCCGGGGCACCCTTTCACCTAAATCTTTCACAGGACTTCACCATCATGACTGAAGGACCAGGATGGTATTAGCAACCCCGTTGTGTATGTAGCTGGAGGTGATTTGGGCCAAGGTGAAGCTGCTTGTCCACGGTCACAGAATCCCTTAGACAAAGGGATTCGGGCGGGGGGGGGGGGCGCAGGGACAATATAACCCCATCTCTTTTGGGCTTTTCACCAGCAGCCCACATAGGAAAAAACCTTGCTTCTCTCCTTTGTTGAGATACTTCTGGGGAATTGTGTTCAAAGGAAAACAAGCCAAAAAATAAAAACTTTAAAAACGTGTAATCAGAAGGAAAATCGGCCTGTCACTCGATCATCTTCAAAAGCATGAGAGGCAGAGAGTGCAGCTTGTCCGTGTAACCTGCTGTCCCTTTCCCAAGGACGCTGACTCGCAGACATTTGCTAGGCCTGGACCTGAGCCCCAGCCCTCCTGCAGCACTGACTTGTGTGGCCGGGGAGGATTCCCTACCCCGGGGCCTTCTGGGATCAAGAGACGAGGAATGGAAAAAAGCAGGTTTGTTTGGAGCACTGTAAATTAGCCTGGCTGGTCCTGGGAAAACTGGGGTATGCTGAAGAACACCCCAGTCCTCCATTACATTGAAACTAATGTACGAACCACACGGAAGATTCGTTTTCCTGGTCTCCCGTGAGAAAACCAAACTGGTTGCCAATTCTAACAAATTTTTCTTTACAAGCTTTCAAGACTGCCTTGGCTTTTAAAGAGGATTGGGGGTTAAAAAAAAAAGAAAAGAAAATCCCTGATAGACTACTAAAACCGGTGTTTTCTAAGATGTCTTGAAATTCCAGCCCTTCCTTCTCACAGGGGAATGTGAGTATAAACGACTCGTCCTGTACCATTATTAAAGGAAGCAGATCGCCCAGAAGAAAGCACCTTTCTGGGCCTCTCGAAGCAAACCAGAAGCAGCTGAAATCTGGCAGCGGTTCAAAGGTGAAGTCATTCATGCCCCGCTACATTCTAGGCAATTCCTCCCCCATCCTTGCACATGTCTGCCACTAGATGGCAGCACAGCTCCAGAAAGGAAGGCCTCTCACAAAGAGCTCGGTCCTCGTAGCCAGTCAGCCCTGTGGACTGGACTTTGTGCAGGCCTTGCCACTAAGGAGGGGGAAAGGGCAGTAAGAGGGGGCCTCTTTCCCAAACAGTGCAGAGAAAGGTGTGCAGACCACTGAAGGTGGGCCTCTGAGCCGCTCTAGCATTCCACTGCTGCAACGTGGACGTCTTAAGTGTGAAGCTGCAGGAAAAAGAGTTAGATTGGGTGGGAAAAGGTTTGCTGTCAGGAAACCAGTCAAGAGAGGACCCCTGTGGTTGTACAGAGGTCACAGCCCCACTGAAGGCAGGGACCCATGCCTCCGATTCCTCCAATAAGGACCACATTTTGACTTAGCTCAAAAGTCAGTGAGCTGATATGTGTAGGTATCTTAAGACTTTACAGATACATAAGTCACTACCTTTGAATTGCAAGTTTTTGGAGGACACACACATGTGCACACATTCCTATCATGTGGGAAGTGGAAGTGTTTTCTCAGAATTCAGTGATTGAAAATTTGGAATTTTATTAAAATGTTATCTTCCTGAAGATTTTATTCGTGGATGTAGCCTCAGTCAGTACTTCTTAGTATAGTGTCTGGCACACAGTAGGAACACACAAAAAAATCAGATTAAAAGACATCTCTCCAATAAATGTGAAAATTCCAGTGGTGGGTAATTTTGCATCCCAAGAATGTGTTTGGAGAACAGTGGGTAAAGGCAGAAGGGGCCAGGAGAGAGCCTGAAGAGAGACAAGATGAAAGAAAGGGAGAAAGGGGACAGTCGTTACCAGCAGCTCCTGAGGCTTGATGGAGTTGTCGGTGTAAATGCACAACTTTTCTGCTGTCAGAGGGATGGTTTCCTTGAGCTTGGAGGCCAGGAACATGCAGACGGCACCCAGGAGCTGCAGGTGGGTCTTAGGAGTCGGGACCCCAGCCAAGAAGCGGTCCAGGTAATTCATGGCCAAAGGGAAGACCTCCTCCTCACACTTCTGTTCCTCACAGACCTACAGTGTGGGAAAGAGTTGGGTGGGAGGGGGAGAAAATAGTATCAGGAAAAGAGGAAAAAATGAAAAAGCACAACCTATGGAAATAACAAAAATATTTAATTTTTTATAGGGAGGGGGAGGGGAGTAGAATATGTGATAAGAATAAAGAGGAGGAAATTGGGGTAAATCTAAACAGCCCATCTGTGCTGGGGTATTCCCCAGGAAAGTAAAATAAGAGATGAATTCAAGATCCAAAACCGAGAGGCAAAGAAATGCGCAGTAGCAGCCCGCAGCTCCACGCCGCTCCCTTTGGCTACTCATTTTTTCGCTCACTCTAACTCACTCACTCTCTTTTTTGGATTTCGTCATCTTTTCAAAAAATCAATAAAAATATTCTGGAAGCTCCGAGGGTCTCCTTCTTGGCCCCATCCGGACCCCCAGACTCTGCTCTATCATTCCCGACAATTGGAAAAAATGTCCCGGGGGGTCCCCGCGGTCCAGGCGCCGCTATTGGGGGGGTGGGTG